GTCGGGTCGTAAAAACCCAAATAAATTCAATTCAAAAGCCGGACTCGAACAACCATATTCTGATCGTCCTAAACGAAATTGTTCAATTCATCTATACACTCTCGCGTAAAATGAACCTTAATAGTTAAGAATTAAAAATCAATGATAAATGTTAAAAAAAAAAAAAAAAAAATTTAAATAGAACACTTTTACCGGTTTAAAACACGAAGTATACTATTTATAATTTATTAACTACATGACCTAATGAATTTTAAATAAGTCAACTGCATTTTGGCGTTTTAACTCGCAAAAAGGGGTTTATTTCATTTATATTTACTATTTGCGTAAACTACAGACAATACTAAATCATAAAGCTTTAAGATTTCGTTTCTTATTATTTGTATGTATTGCCTTGGGTTCAACCTAAAATACAGAGTTTAAGTGAACGTAATAAAATTTGCGTTTTACCTCATATAAAAGTACCTCTAATTATATAAAGCTTGGAAAGATTTGTTGGTTGTTTGAACGCGCTAATATCAGGAAGTACTGGTGCGAATAAGAAAAATACCACCTACTTATCGAGCATTAATTTATTTACTAATCAGATGCCTACAATAACTATTCCACGCAGACGAAGCCACGGGCACAACTAGTTTTTGAAAATATCTGATATATACAAAATACTAATTTATCACAGCAAACATATTTTGACGTGGCGTCGCGTTAAATCCGAAAATGTTATTAGTTTGCGGTCACGCTTACGAATTACATCGTTAATATGGGAAAGGCTCTGTAGTTGACAACTTAAAATGCGATTCGAATAATTTGGATGGCTTTCAAAATAGCTTCTAATTAACATGAAATTTATCTATACTAATATTATAAAGCTGAAGAGATTGTTTGTTTGAAAGCGCTAATCTTAGAAACTACTAGTTGGAATAAAAAAAAATATTTTTGAGTTGGCTAGGACATTTATCGAGGAAGCTTTTAAGCGAAAAAGCTACCTGCGCTGCAACCAATAGCATTGAAGAAAAAGAGGGAAATATGGAAAACACGGGGAATATAAATCATCTTTCAGGGCTACCGTTGTGTGCGTTGCGGTTAATGAAATCGAAAAATACACGAGGCACCACAGGTTGTTTATAAAAATAAAAGAAAAAATATGATGTCCAAAATAACCATTTCACGCCTACAAAGGGCACAGCTAGTATTAGATAAGACGTCGAAAAACCCTCTTAGATTAGCTGTCAGTAAACGCAATCGTTGGAAGATTAATTCCATTAAAATAATTAATTTTGTAATTGAAAAAGCCTAAGAAGGACTGAAAAAAGTTCTTAAAACCCTGAAACCCTCTCTAAAGCGATAGAAGAGCCCACGCCTAAGAGTGGTACATACATATGGTGGAACTTACATTCAAGGTTATTGGAAAAGTTTTGAATATGTTAATATTAATAAAGGTAAGCATAAGTATTGATCGGCGACAAGGCACGATCACAGACCGATAACGGGTGACACATACAACACGATAGATAACAAAATCCCACAGATAAGGTACGACCGATGGCTTCAACAACTATGGTAGAGGTCATAAGCGGGGTCCCCCCTTTCAGATACTGTAAGTTCCAAATCCCAAAAAGTTGAAAAAAAGAGGTCTTGACTTGAGAGACTTTTATTATGGAACATGCAATTTAATTTTCGTTATATTTTTTATTTAAAGTCACACTCTATGTTTTCGATGACATTTTCATTTTTGCAGGATTCGAATAAGACCTCTTTTTTTTGACTCCACTTGTTGGATGTTAATTTAAAATATTTCCTTTTTTTCTTTTTAACTTATTGGTCTAATGGAAATCAGTCTCAGGTCAACAAAGGACCTGATATAAACTGAGTAAGATCATTTTCTACTAGCAGCACACGACACTATTTTATCCTGTTAATATTAAGGTATATTGTTAGTATTAAATTATGTTTTGTTTTTTATGTCTTAGTAATGAGTGTAATAAATGTTTTTGTGTGCCTTAGTAGTCAATAAATTTCTTCCTCTCTCTCTCTTTCTCTCTAATGTAGTGTTTGGCTAATTATAAACGGGACGTGGGTTCGATCGCCACCGGGTATAACATATGTCTCATGGAAGTCTGGACATTCAGTCCGGGTGGCGAACTACCATCCACGGATGATAAAACCGTAAAGTTCATTCGTTCAGTTTCAGTCTGTTTTCCGAATGTCCAAAGCCAAAGTAAGTCGCCTGCGCATCTTGTTTACATTTAATATAGCTGAGGTACTTCAAATTTCATCAAATGAACCCCTGTCCACCTATAACACAAATAAATAAAAAAAAAACAAATAACCTTTCAGACAAATACCTCTTTAACGAAGTTTCACATATTAAGTTTCATACTAAGTACGACAAGTGAGGGTAAAGGCCAAACGAATTTCACACCAAAACAGGAGCTAGTTAACTAATTGAGTGGCTCTGTTTGTTAATTAGTTACCCCGAAACCGTCGGGGCTCTATCAAATAACAGCATTAGCTTACAGATTGTGTATTTTACAGGTCAAAGGAATTTGGTGTGTACTTTTAAACTTCTTTATTCTAGAATAACAAATCTACGTCTATATGTTATGTATTTTTTGGAGCCATCACTAAATACGTCATTTAGTACGTCGTTGTAAATAAATGATTAGTGTGCAGTACGGACGTAGCTGGTAAAAATAAATAATTTAAAAGTATAAAACACTGTCTGTAATTTACGCGAGTAGTACACACATACGTTACATAAAACACATTGACGATTTAAAGATGGGAGTGTCTCGGACGCCAAAGTAAACTGCTACGCTAGCGCCATTTGTTCTGTCGAAGTTGGTGGTCAGTATACTTAGTCTCCCCGTCACCACGGCTGCTGCAAGCTTCCGAAACGTCAGGCCTTAGTTAAAATAATTTTCCACTTATTTTAACTAATATACATCGCTTTATAAACCGATAAAGTGTTTTTTTTATTTTTTATTTAAGAGTATATTCGCCTCCTTGCACTATACGTGTATAGCTAGAGTAAGTGGTTTACGTCTATAATACAAGTATAATGTCGTAAACTTATGAATTGTATAGTTTATTTTTCATAGTGGAGGATAGACAAGATAGGTTCACCTGATGGAAAAGGAAATACCCCATATATTAAGATGTGCTGTCTGCCTATTTTTATCCAAAGAATATTCGGAACTCCACAGACTGTAACCGCAACGCGATTTGACTTCATTAAAATTATTATTATTATAGATTAAATTCTGTGTACCATCTGTGGACGGTGGTTCGTGACCCGGAATGAATTTCCGCTCCACCGAACCACTCTTTTAATATCCGACATGTTGCAGAAAAAATATAAATATGATGGACCCGGTGGAGATTGAACCCACGCCCCGTTGATTATCAGCCATACAGACTCTGAGTTAGTGATGAAGAAAGGTTTATTGGAGATCAATGTTTGTTTTTCTTTTACGTAAAAATTGCGCCGACAGTTCATTTAAAAATTAGCTATATTAATTTATTATTAACAGCATAAATGTTAAATAAAATATTTTTAACAGTAACGCACACGATATGTATCATAAAAAAAAATTTTTGCTAATTGCACGTAAATTATAGATTCTTTATGCTGTAGAAACATTACGTTTTATTGAGGTAAAATTGGGAAATAAATCGCACAGCTCAGTTTTTAATTTGTTCGTTTTAATGCGACTTGTAAAATGAACGCTAACTAATAAGTATAAATAATAGTAAATGACTTAGCAGATAATATAGAGAGTACATAATTCTATAAACAGTGTAATAAGGCCTTACATTAAATTGTGTAAGGCTTTCACGGCCGTTCAGCATATCATTGTTACCATAATACCGACAAGCACTTTTAAAAGTCTTACATAAATTATTTTTTTTTTTCTACAAAAAGATATATAAATGGCTGTTGTAAAAATGACACAGGACACGGGGTACAAGAAGAGGGCATTTTAATTCTTTATGTTGAAAAAAAAACAAATGAGGGCGATTTATGGGGCAATTTAGTTGACGTCGGTATAATGTCTAACGTTCTTATATTCTAAACAGGCCCTTACATTCTTATTCACGGTCCCCGATAACATCAGCATTACAATAAAATGTTTCCCCTGTACATTTTGTTAAAGAGAACCATTGTCCAATACAAACCACATTCTGTTTTATAAGTAAAATAACTAAAAGTGTATTAATATACACTACAATAAATCTTAATACGTTAGTTATTTTTAGTTCATTAATTTCAGCCCGACGTTAATATAATTAAGAAATATTAATATCGGTTTTAAACGAAATGTTTTAAATAATTGTTAAACGAATATTAGTTAGATTATTTCAATTAACTACAGCCGCTTGCGCACATAATCCGAAACGTCGGGCTGTAGTTAAAAATACGGAGACTCATGTGACCACGGCTGCTGCAAAGCATCCGAAACGTCGGGCCTAAGTTAAAAATCATTTTCAAATAAGTTTAACTAATATATCGCGTTTTAAACCTAAAGTGTTTATTTCAAGATTTGACTACTCGCGTAAAAGAGACGTTTTTGATATTGGTTTTACTTAAACCTATTTTTATTCCATTCACTAGTAGTTACCAGATCTGTTTGATGTTGTAGGACAAAATGCCCTGTAAAAGTAATTTTAACAAAGTTTCAACAATGAAAAAACAAAGTAATGTCATCTAACAATTATGGATAAAGACAATTATTATGTCTTTTTTACGTAGGTATTTTGTACGCTCTAGTTTTAGTTACGCTATACGTTTTGGTCTTAGTCTGGGGGATTTAAGAATTTCCAAAGGCAAATTAGTTCGACAGTGCATCTTGTTAAGATGCTATATGACATGGGTATCACCATCAAGTCAAACCCGAAGTTGTCAGTTCTCTTACATCATAAAAAAAAATTCCCTGGTGTCGGACGTACATATATGGTTTTTCTTGTGAAACATAATATTATGGTAAGGCATTTGTTCACAGACCAGAAAAAGCAGAACACTCAGTGTCCGGCAGCAATAGCAATCTAACCAACAATGCGGTGCGGCACAAAATAGTGGTCATGGGGGCCGCGAAAGTGGGGAAATCGTCTCTCATCTCTCAGTTTTTATACGGAACCTTTTCGCCCAAGTACAAGAAGACGATAGAGGAGATGCACCACGGCGACTTCAACGTGAGCGGGGTGAGGCTAACTTTGGACATTCTGGACACGTCGGGGGCGTACGAGTTCCCCGCGATGCGAGCTTTGTCCATGCAGTCGGCGGATGCCTTCATTCTAGTCTATGATATCACTGACTTGGACAGTTTCAGTGAAGTCCGGGCTCTGAGAGATCAGATCCACGAGACGAAGGATAGCACGGCTGTGCCGATTGTGGTTGTTGGTAACAAAGTTGATTTGGCCGAAGCTGGAGAAAGGCAGGTGAGTCTTTTTATATCATGCGATTTTTCTGTTGCCAATACACGTTAAAGTGTTTTATTTAAATACGTGTACTACTACACGTAAACTATAGACACAAGCAAGGAGGGTTTCAGAGAAATTATAATTTGAATAGTAAATGTTGGACCTTACGGACATCGAACTCTCGACCCCTTGATTTACGTACGAGAGTAGCACATATTTAAATAAAAAATCCAACCTTTTAATACATACAATATATTATTTGAACATCAAAGATATTTTTAAAACATTTTCGACTCAGGCGGGACTTGAACCGGCGTCGTTAGCGTTCCGTGCTGTTGCTCTACCGATTGAGCTACCGAGTCCTTAATTTATTTTTGATTTTTAAATGATATAGTGCCATTATGTGCAATAACATGTGAAAAATATTAAAAGATTTCAAACATAGCATATACTGTTATACTTATTTACAATGTATTTTAACCACTGGTACTAAAGTTAAGCTAATATTCAAGGTGTCGTAAATTCGACTCCCGCGCAAATCGTGGAACTGAACTGAAATATGCGATATTTAAATCACCGTGCACAGGAAGAGCCGTACAGTGAATTTCTGAATATCCAAAGCCAATATAGCCGACGGCACATCCTATTTAGATATAATTTAGCTGTGTTATATATCCATTAAGTGAACCAGATGCCAGTGTTTACTCTTTTCTAGATTCATTAAAAAAGACAGAAAAGTCACCAACGCCAAAACCATCAAATGTTTACACTTTTGTCAGAAACATTTTCATGAAACAATAAGAGAACATATTAACGCGAATGTAGTCATATCATCCCGCTATCATGGCGTGTGAGAGAAGAGATGAATAGAACTGGTTTATATTATCCAGAGAATAATGTACCGTCGGTTAGGCATAATACAAACATTACTTTCTGACGCTACATTTATTTTTGTGGAGAAATAATGTTCGTTCCTTAATATTTGGGCTTATAAGTTCGTAAATCTGACGTTTAGTTGTCTGTAGCTTACGCGTGTAGTATGTACATTTAAGCAATCATCTAACACGATGAGATCCACATACTGAGGCCAAAACGCGATTAAACTCACCTTTTTTTCATCGGGGGTGTCCCCCGACATCCCTACTACTAATTACTAATTACATTTAATGTCCAGATTTCCAGACGGAGCCTAACTTTTTAAAAAAATATATAAATTGATAAAAAGAATGTTGGACCCAATAGGGATCGAGCTCACAACAAAATAATTAAATTAATAAACATAGGAAAGAATAAATATTGTTTCTCAAACATTCTTCTATGTCTGTTTTAATGCAAACGTTCCTCAAACATGGCAGACACAATTGTGTCAATCAACAAATTGATTTAATGTAAAAACAAAAAACGCGATATAAAGTTAAAATAGTTTTCAAATAACTTTAACTAATATACGTCACGTTTTAAACCGTTAAAATGTTTTACGTAAATCGATTTAAGTCGCCTAAGGTTTTGTATTCGTTTGTTTGCCCCGGGTTAGCAACCACGCAACGCTTTTCGCCTAAGCTTTGAACACAAACTTGTTCAATTAAATTGAACATTAATTTATACAAAGTGTATACGTTTTTTCCATCCCCGTATTCCATTGGATTAATATCGAGCGCTTAAGTGGATTGTGTGAAAGCTATTTAGTACTGATGATTTATTCATTGTATCCAACGCCCCAGTGCGAGAAAAAATTCTTGATAAACAATTCTATTCTATTTGATACTGTAATGGAAATCGTTTGTGGATAAGAAGGGAAATTCATTTCTTCAATTTGAATAATAGAAGGAAAACCATAAGAGAATAGAAAGGGCTTGTTGGTTTTTGGCGTCATTACTAATCAGGCGTTATGGCATGTGCTTGCTGCTAGAAGAGTGCCCTGTGGGGGCATCGGCTTAAAGAGATGCTGGTTGTTATGGGACTCAGGTAAACATCGTGTCATGTCCAACCAAAACTTCCCAGTAGGTACTAAAATTGTTGTCTCTTTTTTTATGATACAGAACAGACACGCCTGGGGTTCACTCGATGGAAAAAATACCATAAAACCCTATTTAGGCTATGGATTCGGAAATCCGTAGACTGAAAGCGAAACGCGATTGAAATTCTCGGTTTTTTTATCTTCTGTGCTTTATTAGAACTATGTATGACCCGCTGGAAATCCTATAAACTACCCGTTGTTACTATTAGACCCAGGGAGCCCGTTTACTTTTAAGAATGAGAAACATTACCCTCTTTTAATTCGCCGTTGCCGAGTAATAAACAGCTTTTCCTCTAAGATTTTAATCAGGGTTCAGCAATCGTTCTTATTTATAGTATTCAATGCAGTTCATTCATTGGATAAATTGAATTTCCGTCTTATCGATGACATGGAAATGAATTGCACGTTGAGGTGGAATCGAGCGTGGTGATGGAGACGTGGGTGCTAATATACGAAGACACGTATGGAAGCATTCATGTTAAGCATTATGTACTAGTGTTACCGATTGTACTATAATATAGTACACTGTTGCAGTAATATATCGTAAAATGTACTATATTTTCAATTTCGACAATTTTCTAATTCCGAATTGTGAACGCGCTTTGGATATTGAACAAGCTTAATGATAACTATAAACTCTGCTAGGCACGTTTAACCATTTACCTATAAAGGCGGTTAATTACTATACATATTTATTATATTATTTAGTAAGTCACATTATATAAAACAAACATGTTTAATTTTATACCAAGTCTTTGATTTATATCTAACATTGAACTTTGCAATAAAAATTACGAGAAATAGGACAAAACAGTTTACCGCTGAAGCATCGAGTGACCATAAATAACTGACATCTTTTCCCGAGATTAGTTTAGTAAATGCCAGCGGATGTAGAAAGTTTAGTTTGTACTTTATAGCGAGGCAACTCCGTATAATAGGGTAGTGTCGGCTAGACTTGCTGACTCGACAATTTCCGGTCCCTCGGGTATCCCGTACGGACGCATTCTCGGATTCATTTGTTTTATGATATTCTTGAAAACTGCCTCAGTGGTTAATCCTAGCGTTGTTGAGCGAGACTGATATCAAATATTAGGGAAACGATATAAATAGCTTCAAAAGATACGGAATACGGATATGGAATTATGTCTGCGCTGGCTAGGGGAAATCTAAAGCCGACAATTTTCTTTCCGGTGCCGAGAATCTAACGGCATCACACGTATTCTTCGTTCTCAATTAGAAGGTCGTAGTAGAACCCAGGTCGGGTTAATCTTTATTTAAATTTAAATTATATAATCTGATTTAAATAACACACTTTAACGTTGTCACGGCAACGCATGTTTCATGTATATATATTGTGTTTTAAACCGTCAAGTGTTTTATTTAAATTCGTAGTAGTCGCGTCAACTTCAGACAGTATTTAACTCTCTCTCTCCTATTAGTCCTGTGCTATAATTTTATTTACATATTTTTGTTTATTAAAAACCAATCACACATCAGTACAGAATAATAATTCCAACATGAGAGTGACAGCAACCACCGTCCATAGGTGAAATAGCTGTAAACCCTAATCGCGTATCGGTTTCAGACTGTGGATATCTGAATATCCAAAGTCGATATAGGTCGACACCTTATGTGAATGTTATGTATTTCACATACCACAAGTGAAACTCAATCATAAAAAAAATATCAAACAATGTCTATATGAAATTGCGATGCTATGCGAATTTGTGTTACAAACCGTTATTGTCTATAGTTTACCCGAGTAGTACACATTTAAATAAAACACTTTAACGGTTTGAAACGCGATATATTAGTTAAACTTATTTGAAAATGTTTTATTTAAACCGTTATTTATTATTTACATGATATGTTTTAAACACATATTTGCAACTGAACGTGTCACTTCCAATTATTTTCAACCGCACATGCGGCTTGCACTCAATCGAAACTCAGCCAGCTGTATACCAGTCCTTATCTGTGAACAAGAGTCAATAAAGGCATATTTGCAATTCGATAGTAATAAAATGGCTTTTGTTATTATTAACGTTGCAAAATCAAGCAAGTGATCAGCAAAGCATCTATAGCGTCGCACCGTAGTTTAAATTAATTTAAAAAAGTCTCTTTGACAAGTATAACATTTTCACATGTTATTGCACATGGTGGCATTATATAAATTAAACATCGCTTTTAGATTGACACGGTAGCTCAATTGGTTAGAACAAGGCAAGGTACGCTGTGGATGCCGGAAGAAGGCCTGCCCACGTAAATTGTATTCAATCAAATTTTTAAACGTTTAATACTCGCGTAAATCACAATCAATGTTGAAATCTATGTAAAAAAAAATAAACTATATTTCATGTCAAGCATGAGGTTCGAATTATTAATAGTAGTTGAAACGCACCAATTATATAACATATAATTACACAGTTAAACTTACAGACTAAACTGAAACGCGGATTTACACTTCGCTGCTTTTCTATTGTTGAACCTCAGGTGCTAAATATTTCTAAACAGAGTCTAGATAATCTGAAAATGATACCTACAATCTACATACAAACGGGCCCGTTAAAATTGCGTATACAATAAAAAATCATTAAAAAATTCAACCATAGAAGATATACTCCAGCCATACAATCTCTTATTGAGAAGCGTTATCAATCTAGTTTTATAAAGAACAATGGCCATAATTGTATGGGTACAGGACCTGGACTGCAGGACTGGTTTTTTCGCAAACAGTTACAAATCATAAAGGTTTTGATTTACTTCGATGTATTAAATAATCTGAACGCATTTTTTTGAAAGCCAACATAATTTAATATCGTCAAAAATAGTTTTGAGGTCAATTAATAAATGAGTTGAAATTCAAACGGGGTTTTAAAGTATATATATATATATAAATAGAATTATGTAAAAAGCAGAATGAGTTTAGGGGATGGCAAATTAAAAGTTTAAGAAAGGCAATATAATAACTGTCAGTCAATTGTCAGGGATCCGAAATGTCAATCCAAAATGTCAATAGTATCGGCGAAAAGCCATTTCGTTATACGCAAATTATCAAAATACTTTTTACTTCCTTTTTACTTATAAAAAGCAAAAAAAAAACAAAAGTTATATAATAGTTATATCTCCATCGAACAGACCTATTATTACACCAATTAGTTACGAATTCTGGAAATAAGCTCTGATACGAATTAGAACTCGACGTCCCAGACAGATAACAGATGTCATAATTAGCAATTACTGCCCAAGTTTCGTGTTCATTCGTCACCTTCATTTATCTTGTCAGATTTTAGGCCAAACTCGACCCGAAGGAACCTTCTTATAAGTACTTAGCGTAATAAATTCTCGTAAGCTCTTTAACTAGGATATCCAAATGTTGCCCTTACTTACAGTATAACTCAACGATTTAATTAAGGTGTAAAAATAGGCTGAATACCTGGCGTCAGAGGACGAATGATTTTGTCTAAATATGCTCAACGATTAGTAATTATGATTTAATAAAAATTGAGTAAAATGTGGCGAATTGTGAATTTCAAAAATAAGACAAATAAACAAAATGTACTAAAACTTTTTAATTTTTGGATTGTTTGACTCAAATTAATGCATATATGTAAAGACTCACTGGGAGTTAAACACCAGTTGCACACGATCGTTTGTTCCAAATAGTTTTCTGCAAATACTATATGACAAATATTCCGTCTAAAATTATTTACTGAAAAACCTCGCACCGCAAAGCAATAAGGCAAATTATTATTATGTATCAAAATATTTCTCGACTAAAAATAGGTCAACAGTGCATTTTTAAATAAAACACTTTAACGGTTTAAAACGCGATATATTAGTTAAATTTATTTGAAAATGATTTTTAAGTTCGGCCCGGTTCGGCGTTCGGATGCTTTGCAGCAGCCGTGGTCACGGGGAGACTCGATTCGTTTAACTAATATATCGCGTTTTAAACCGTCAAAGTGTTTTATTTAAATGTGTACTACTCGCGTAAACTATATTCAGTGCATATTGTTTAGATTTTATATGCTGGGGTATTTCAACTTCCATCAAGAGAACGCTATGCGTTTTAAACCGTTAAAGTGTTTTATTTAAATGTGTACTACTCGCGTAAACTATAGACAACGCTATGCTTGTTTATCCTCCTCTATCATAAAAATAGAAATATTTTCAACAATCAAAATATAGTTTGTCTTTTAAATTGTATGTAAAAGTAGACCACCTCGGAAAGCAAATGTCTGACTCGGTCTTCAACATACGGAAATGATTATCACTATTAAAGTAACACACTTTGATAGTTATAATTAAATGATCTTATAAACTTCACTCATCTTCTACTATACTTGAGCTAGTCTGAACACCAGCGCCGCTGACTGTGACAAGCTCTTATCAGCACAGCTGAGACGCGTACAGATTGTATTTTATTATGTTATAAGTATTTTGTAAAAAAAGACATAAAAAGTTTTTTAACTTGGAATTTGAATGTTTAAACAGATTCTATTTTTCAGGTTGACTTCCACACGACAGAGTCCGTGGTAACTGTCGATTGGGAAAACGGATTCGTGGAAGCATCTGCCAAGGATAACAGCAACGTGTCCCAAATATTCAAGGAGCTTTTGGTACAGGCCAAGGTGAAGTATAATTTATCACCTGCGTTACGTCGGCGACGAAGGCAGTCGCTACCCACAGGGCCCCAAGGGCCGCCGGGGTCCGCCCCGAGCCCCTCGTCTTCTAACGCACCCCACGTACCCTCAGCAGCCCAGCTCGCGCACTTACAACAAATCCGGGAAAGACACGCAAACAGTAAACGAAATTCTTGCTCGATTACATAAATATACGTGGTCAATCAATGTTGTGATTCAAATAATAATAATGAAACAATATTTCAACGTTTTAATATTCTCTCGATGCTGACTTCTTGTGAATTTCTATTTTTAAATATAGTTATTAAGGTCTAATTTAAGTCTGTCTGTAGCCGAGTATATTTCTAAATCGTATGTATAGGATTATTGGTGATAATGTAAATATTTAAAGATTGTCATTCTGTTGATGTACAGCTCTACTATCCCTAATAAAAAATACTTTTCTTGTACTTTTTTTTTTACAAATCAAACATCTTCATCAACTTCGACCCGACGTTTCGGATGCTTTGCAGCAGCTGTGGTCACGAAGCTAAAAATCATTTTTAAATAAGTTTAACTAATATATCGCGTTTTAAACCGTTAAAGTGTTTTATTTACTAATGTGTACTACTCGCGTAAACTATAGACAGTATACAAATTAAACTTCAATTTTATGTATTTTTGGAATATTCAAAGCCAATGTAGCTATTATAAAAAAATCACTGTCCACTTGTGACCAGAGCCAAGATTTTTCTTTATCCAGAATTACTCTGCAAGCTTGGAACGACATGCTTAAATAAAAACGACACCGAAACTAACATTAATTAAAAATGAAAAGTTTCATAATTTTAAATGATACGCTTCTGTGTCCAATATTACTCTGTCTCTGACAATACTGTGCCCTGCTCCATCAAAACAATTTTTTGTTTTGTTTTGAATTGTTTCCCCGGGATTCGAATCCAGGACCGCTTAAAGGATTTATAAAGTGGTTTTGACCAAGATATTTACATATTATATAGAGCTACGTTCCACGTATTAACTTGATCCCGGTAAATCACAGAATTTGAGGGACAGCTGACCCATCTTGCGAATTGCTTCCATGGCTCTTTTGTTATGTAAAATTGTACTTGAATTTAAATAGCACCCGATGAGTTATATTTTAATCTCACCTTTAGGGCCGAGATTATTTTTAGGGTTCCGTAAAAGGGTAAAAAAGAACTTTTACTAAAGTTTAATGAATAGGCTGTACCTCAAGATATACGGTATTTTTGTTTGTTGTTGTTGGTTGGTTTCCTATAAACAAAAAATTTTTTTACTGTAGTGGAGAAATTAAAATTATATAATTGCGTATTTCTGTTGCCACTATAAGAACAAATACTAAAACAAAATGAATATTTAAAGGGTACATGTACAAACACGACAGGTACATGTGAGGCTGCTAGAGGTAGAGTGGCCTAATAAAAAAAAACATGATTTTCAATAAGGAGAAAAAAAAATGCTCAAAAAACTTAGGCGAAAGTTTTAGGTCACTGTGCTCTTATAGATTAACATTTTTAGACTATGAAAGTTGCAGTTACTCTACTCTGCTGTTAGCAATAAAAGACTAAACTTATGTTTCATTATTTCGAGAGCTCACTTGTACAGGCAATCAATTTTAATAGTACGGAACCTTTGGTGAGAGTTCCACTCGCACTTGGCCACTTTATTCAATGTTATCTGGTAACGTCATGAAATTTCGAGGGATTCTTGAACCGTGAGCGTAGATTGCATATCTTTTATTATTGCTAAGTCGGCTTATATCTTTGATAAACCCGCGTGCCGGGTTCAAAAGAAAAGATTATTAAGAACAATATCTCGTTTTATTAAACGCCTACATGGAAGTAGGGGAAGTGCGATAAGCACACGAAATTGCTTCGGTCAGGTGGGCCGATGTCTGGTCGAATACTTGCTAGTATATAAAATTCACGAGTAAAACGGACACAGAGATATGTCTGCCCCAACTAAACGGATATGATAATTAAATCCTGCTTTTCTCCTTGTATGGCATTTCGTTGATTGTTTGAAGACTTTGATGAATGCAAGAAATGTATTTTGAATTCCGCGGCATTCAAATTAAAAAAACCTTTCTATGTAATCGATTGAAAACTGAAATAATAAAATACGACACGGGCAAGACTTGAACCGGTATCAACTGCGTTCCGTGCTCTTGCTCTAACCGATTGAGCTACCACGGCCTACTTGTCATCGTCGAATTTACAATGTATTGATACATTCACCTCTTGCGCAAGTTTTAATGAATATAGTGTCATCATATTATGCAATAAGAGAAGTTTCCTCGTGACCGCGACTGCTGCAAAGCAACCAAAACGTCGGGCCGTAGATAAAATAATTTTCAAATAAGTTTAACCAATATATATCGCATTTTAAACCATTAGTATGTTTTTTAATAGACTAAGTGGTTAAAATAATTTTCTAATAAGTTCTACTAAAATATATCGGGTTTTACCGTTAAAGTGTTTTATTCAATGTGTGTACTACCCGCGTAAACTACAGACCGTATCCTATACTAAGTTGTTCAGCCGATTTGTTCTTGAACCCTGACATTTCGAAACAAAACAATAGACGTGTCGGGCCCGCTGTCAAATTGTACCCACAGAAGGCGGGAAAGTGTAATTAATTCGTGGATTCACTTGCTCACGTCCCTAGCTTTACACTTACTTTTGTTCTCAAAGCATGAATTATTCTTAATTTACAGTTTAAATGCACAACATTTACAAAAAAAAAACTGTTTTATTGAACCTTACATTGTAATCGATTCTTTAGTTTATTGTTCTAGTATATAACAATGGCGGATCCAGCTTTGGCGCCAGGACATAGTCACATAGTCTTGGTCAAGTCACTATTAATTTAATTTTCTAAACAATTTTCAAGAAAAAGTAGGCATTTCATTAATGTACGTAAATATGCTGTACTTCAAAGATTCATTCTTAATTGTACACTAAAAAAACACATTATTTGTTTGTAAATAAAATCAATATGTTCAATTAGTGGTCCTAGGCCTGGATCCAGCGCAGGGGGTGGGGGGGACATGACCCCATGCCCCCGCCCCCCTGGATCCGACGTTGTATATGTATAGACCGATGAAATCATTACACATCTGCTTAACTTTGTCATGGAGTATAATGTAAAGATAATCATAATTTTACACTTTGTTTTATGCATTAATCAATAGTGTTTTTTTTGTAGTTTTTTCTAAAGAATTCACACAAAACTGTGTTAAAAAATTGTACATGCATTATTCGTATTAATTATTTTTTAAATATATATTGTTTTTCTGTCATAGACCAATAATGAATAATATAAGCAAAAGGAATATATATATGAATTCTTATTACTTTAATAAAGATCTGTACAATTTGATTCTAGCCCTTGAAATTGATGTGTCAAATACTTATACCGTTTCGCGTGTTTCATACACAACTAAATTATTTATAAGAAATTTCATAATGTAAATCTAGATTACATTTTAATATTATGTATAAATGTGCCTTTTTTGATTAATGTTACTTTGACGTGATACAATTTAATTTAAATTCGATTATAATTGATGTACGTCAAGACATTGTCTTCTAAGAAATGTGATAGAGAGAAAAGGCATGTAAGCTTATGAGCCTCAGTGTCAATCCCTCATACATTAATTTAATATCTTGTTTTCGCGTATACAACCTAATTACGAAAACTTTTTGTGGAAATTGTAGCTGAAAGAGATAACAAATATCTTTAGAAAAGGAGTTAAAAATTTTTAGTTAAAAAAAATGTACAAATGCACAAAGGCAATGACATTTATAATTTATACTACAATTTGAATAATTTCACTATAAGTAGCGTATTTATTTTAACTTAAGGAGAAAAGAGAAATAAATTTTATAATGAATATACATTATTTTAAGATTATCTTCCACTATGTGTGTCTATTAAGCTGATGTATTATTCCTATAATAGTCGTAATAAAGTATTATCTTGCTGTTAAGAACTTCTACCATTCAATTCCATTAAACATTATCGACTGAACTGTAGAACTATTTAGGTGCATTATGTATACAAACTTGAAATATCTACATTTAAGTTATAAATGTATCTTACTATTGTAATTTAAGAAATTTTCTAATAAACACATTTTAATTATTAACTATTAAACGTACGCAAAAAAAAAAATCATGATTTTTATAGTAGCGATTCTGATGTACAAAAACTAATGAATGGTCGCCATCTTGTTTCATGAAATTTGAAAGATGTCAATTGTCAATAAGCGAATTGTGATTGAGTTTGTGTACAACATAATAGGCACTAAATAGGTAATTGAACCCTACGAATTTTATATCAACTAAAATTGTGTTTACAATTTAACTATTTACGTATTGAGAAAAAGCAAAGAAAGGAAGGAGCAAATAATAATCATAAAAATATAATTATATTTGTTAAAATTGCCGTGCACTGATGGATTTGATAAATAAGAAATGTATTTAAATTTCGTGTCTACTTCTTGTAAAGTTTAAAAACCAATCTGAACAACTTTGCCATGTCTTTGAATCTTTTTGGTAAATTTGTACTGCGTGTATAAAATAGTGAATAAACGTGTATTTACTGTGTTTTTGTTTTTCATTTATTTGTAAGAATATAACAAATATAATTAAAAAAAAACATAGAAACAAATAAAAAGGGGATATATATGTTTTATTTTTCAATATCACAACAGGCAGAAGGCTAATGTAAGATTGCATTTTAAATAAACAGAGAAAACTAAAATCTTACGAAATATGACTTATTTGAATACTATGTGAAAAAATAAATTGTAAATAGTTTACGAGCTCACTGCACGTATCATGAAAAATGTGTGCCCAACAACAAATTTAGAAGTACGTACGTACAAAAGCCTGCAAAGTAGGTATGCAAAAATAACTCTTTATACATTGGTCTACGTTGTGTCTACAACTGTGCTACGAACCGTGCTACGCCGTAGATCTAAATGAGAGATGGAATTTATAAAAGCAGATTTATAGAAGGACTATTTCACGAGACAAAATTCTTGAAAAGTTAACTACTACAATAATTCACATAGGATGGGCCCACTCAATATAAAGCAGCATATGGCTTCGTTTTAGACTGAAATAATAATATGTAAGTTGTTTGTGGCGGTGAGCGCCTTTGTA